GTAGAGGTACTTCACATTACAAAAGAACAACCTGAGTCGCGTGTATGAACCGCACATTTTCTCACTTTTAAAGTCCGACTTATATTAAATATATAATCAAGATATAATATAATAGGTTAAATATAATAGGTTAATAGGATTAAATATATAATATTATATAATAAATATGGTATAATAGGTATTAAATTATGTTATGAATTGTAGTTTTAGCAAATTTCCCTATAGGAAAGAAGCTATTACCGTATGTCTCACGGTAAGACCTAGGCCTGCGACCGATTTACTTTTTCATGTTGATGTCCCCAGAGGCCAAAAACACCATTCGTTCAAATTTTTATATATGAATATGTATATGTGTTTGTGTCCATCCAGACGATAACTTAAATAATTTTCGTCCAATTTTGATAAAATTTCGTTTGAAGGTGTAACGCGGGATAAACTTGAATGAGTTCGCGAACCAGCATGATCGGACCATAGGAATGGGGTTTTTCCAATTTTGACCCTTAAAAACAAAATTTATAAAATTTTCTCCAGACCTTTTAAAGAGCTTAAAAAACAAATAATTTAGTATATCAAAGTGTTTTTGTACAAGTGTGGTTAAGGAGAAAATTAAAAAAAAATTCCATGTCCATTTACAATTCCCACCAATGTCATTATTATAGGAGAATATTATAGGGAATTCTTAGGAGAATATTGTAAAAATGTTGTAGTTGGCTTGTTTATAGATATATTTTGATCAAACTTAGCGGATTTGTTCATTTTATACTAAGCTATTGATATATAAAAAAAAAAACAAAAAACACACACTTTATTAGTTTCCTTGTAGCAGCTAACCTAGGTCCTCGTTAAAAATAAATTTTAAGTTTATAGATTCATTTAAAATCAATTTAGGCAAATTGAAATTCGCTTATTTGTCAGGTGTGCTGCAGTGGGGGTATTTTAATGCATTCTTCAAATCAAATCCATTTATTGCCATCAACATTATAAATACATGTATAGCAACGTCATACTCGCCTAAAGTTTATTTGGTATACTTTGAACTAATTGAATCCATCAAGATAGGTGATACGGGAATTCAATTTAAAATAATAAAAAAATTGAATGTTAGAAACATTTCTACTGGCTAGAGACTGGCTTAGAAGAACAAACTAATCTATGATTTTAAGTCTAGGGCGAGAAGGCAGAAGGTATCGATGTTCCCCTATAAGTTTTCCAGATAACTACAGTGTAACTAGACCATCGATCACATTAAGTGATCGTTGAACTAGACACATCTGATTACTCTCATTTCGTCAGCAGGTAGGTGCAGTGTTGTTATTTGAAATTAAATGGAAAAAGTTATTTTCGGCTTTACATGTGCAGCCATTGAAAAAATAAAGTAAATGTAAATAAATGTAAATAAAACCAATTTAAACTACATTTGTTTCCACAAAAAATTAGACCTAGAAAATTAGACGACCACGAGGCACAGCACGATGTAAATTATTCCAGAAGACATGAATAATTTAGTTTGTGTTGATCACAACCAATCCAATCATAACATAATTGAGATAGCTATACAACTCTTGAAGATTAACAGATACAGATACAAATACAAATACGGAAATTAATTCTACAATGTCATATTTTAGATATGAGTAAATTAATTTTTTGGGATGTTATCCTTATGTGATATCAGGCCATCAACAATTACATTACATCCTGTTGTTGGGTTATTTGCACCTTCCGGCCTTACGGTAGTTCTCTCATCAGTGTTCGCTATGAAGGGAGTCATTTGCGTCAGTGTTCTGTTGCCTCTTTTGCTGCTGTGTGTGGTTGATTGTCAAGATGATGAAGGCTCTTCGGAACCAGATCCAACAACTGATTCCTCAACAGACTGCAACTCTGATGATTGTAATGTCCAAGGTTCTATAACGTCAATTTTCACCGCACCCACTTTAAAGTGTGAAGAGGGATATCAAAGAGATTCTGAGGGAAAATGCAGGGAGAGATTTTAACTTCCTTTTACCAGGTATTGCAATTTATTATGATCTTTGGTAAATTAATAGATGAGATTTTAACTAACTTTACAGTCCATGCAGTACCATGCATCTTTTTAGAAAGTGTTTGATTTAAGTCTAAATACGCAGTTTTTACAGACAGAAAATTGATTTTACATGGATAGATTTCATGTTTTTAATCTATGAAATAAATAAGCCCCATTGAGTATACACAGGCATTGAGTGTATACATGACACCTAATTGCCCCAAATTTATTAATAAGTGCAGTAATATTAAAATACTAGTGTCCCTGTTGCTCGAATTCGAGCAATTGCTAAGTATTACAGGCGTTATGTTAAAACGAATTTCAACCAAGTCAGCGCAAACTGTTAAATTAGCAAACTTATTGACTGTTTACAATTATCATATGCTCTTCTTCTCACTTTTGATTTGTGACAACAGCTGGAGTTTCATAACAATTTTTGTTTCCAAATCTTATGGAGAAATACGAAACTTTAAAGGGCTCCATGGCTTCACTCTCTCATTATTTCCCTAAAAAGAAAGTTTCCTGCACAACTTCACGTTACGCTCTTTCCAATGACACCAAAAACATGTCAATCAGTTCAGTAGTTTTGGAGGAGTAATTGTCACAAAAAACTTGCTTGCGTATTAAATAAGTATAGATGTAGATAATAACACAGACTAGATTTCGTCCAGTGGTTGAAAACTCGACAAAAAATACAGGGTAGTCATAAATTATTGGACCAATTTTAAGATTAAATTACCATATAACGAAGCAACTTAGAAACATGGGAATTGTTTCATAAAATAGAAAATTCAAAACAGTTTTACACAGTAACTTCAAAACAATAATTATAAAAACTAGTGCACCTGTTTCTCGAATTCGAGCAATTGCAAACTATTGCAGGCGTTATTTCAAAACGAATAACAGTCATGATGATGACTTAAAAGAGTAAACTGAAAGAAAATGTAATCAATCCAGTTATCGAAACTGAAAACGAACTCACTCTGAAAACTAACGCTCTTGTGTGTATCATGTGTTTACTATAAACAGCTGTAATTAATACAAATTATTCGTCTGTTTGAGTACACAAAATATTTTCTTCATAATAAAGAAATACACTGGGATTTTGATAGCCTGATGGGCAAAGTCCGAGGACTTTTATTACAGGAATTGGTGAATTGGTCCATTATTAACGGAGGAGTAGTGTTTCGTAGAAATCACCTTCACGTATTATAAGGATGTTAGTAGGTATTAATGAAAGATGTTATATCAAGGCTGTAAAAATTACATGAACTGTGAGTGTAAGTTGTGTTTTCATCCCAATGCCTTGTGCTGTGGTATTGTCAGCTGGCCAACAATCGGCCTTTCTACATTAGCTGTGTACCTATGGCATTTTTAATAATCAAACATTAAACTGGCCATAAGTTAAGTAAGTAGTAAGCTATAGTTCGGCCGCTTAGAAAGCGACCTCCTCCAGCATTGGTTTAGCATTAGCGCGCAGGTCGTTTTCTAAGCGGCCAAACTATAGTTTCCTAGTCGTTGGATTGGACAGGATGGTCCAGTTCTTTGGCCTCTACGTTCTCGAGACATTACAAATTTAGAAATTTTTCTGAGGCTATGTCAAGGACAGAGTGTGGGTGTTAAAAAAAATAAGAGTTAGAGAGGTTATTTTGTATTGAAAGTATAACTCGTTCCAGCAATGCTAAGAAAAACATGGTCTGAGGTAAAAATCAGACTACAAACGTGGTGGGCAAACCATGGAGAGCACGTGGAAATAGTTAAGATAGTTTGATATAAAATGTTGTTACAGCAATCTTTTTTGTATTTTTCCAATAAAAACTGTTTTAAATGAGCTATACAAAACAATTCCCATGTTTCTAAGTATATAATGTACAGTCTCTCAATTTTTTACCCCACGCTCTAAATAAAACATGTTATTGTAATTTCATCCATTTGTTTTGATTTTCTGTATATATTTCGTTGTCTTTATTTTATCAACTATCAAGGTTTTTTTAATGGAGATAAACAAAGACGAAGCAAATGAAATTAATAAATATGTGTTAAATAATGACAACAAACTTAATAATTTAATACTTTCTTATGAAATGGTGACCATACCAATGTAGGTACTTTAAGCCAAGTATGGATGGAGATGTGTGTAGGATGAGTGCCGTGATCTTGTAGTCTTGTTAGTGACTAAGGCCGACATGTTCCTTAGACACGGCTGTTAATTAACAGCCCATACAGCCAATGGTAACTAAGGGACCTACAGTTTATAGTGGTATCTGAACCACATTTTTCCTTGTGATTAAAAATGTTTTATAATTATCAGGATGGTACTGCGGATAGTTGTAGTGCGGACGTTAATCCACGATAACCAGAGAGTATCGCATCCACAGTGTATGCCTTTAAATATCCACAATTCGTGACCTCCTTGTAGCTGGATTACAGGACGACGTCACCGTCCCAGCCGATCCTGGGTAGACTATTCACCGCAGGTAGTTTTGGGTTTTATCACCAAAACATTTGGTTGAAGACACATGTCTTCCCTATGTATCCGTAGATATGCTTATACACAATTTATTTTCTGTTTCTATTATAGACACGTTATTACATTAGGTAAAGTCAAATCTTCATTCCCTTGATTCCCCTTGATCATTTCGAAACAACAACAAACTTCTACTTACATATACAATAAAATAACAAAGAGGCTTTATCCAAACTGTAACGTGTTTATTATGGAAAACATCTCACCGCGACGAATCCACTTTTTCCTAATGAAGAAGATTGACAAAACGACCAGCCAAAACACATACGGAAAATATAAACGATTTATTTATTCAAAGACCAGGAAGCGAAAAAATCATGTCTCCTTCTATAAGCTAATCAAAGTGGAATTTGTAGAGGATAATCAATGTCGTGCAACAAACATATCGTATGACCTTGTCAAGGTCAGTGGAGGGAGGAAAATCTCCAAACTGGTTCTTTCCTCAACGTCCGCACAGAAGTGTGGAGAGTGCGGGACGAAATGAAGTGTTTGGCGTTGAGTGTTGTGTTATTGTGGTGTGCGTGCATCGTACAAGCGATACCACAAGGTTTCTTCGCTGGTTTGCTCCCAACGTCGTCTCCCCAGGCAGACAATCCACCGAAGGGACCTCTGACAATCTTCACTCAAGGCCAACAAACCGCACAACAAGTCGTGGGCGGAATCATCTCCGGCCTCGCGGAGACCAGAGAGAAAATCAAGAATGAAACCAAAAAGCGAATTCAGACATTACTAGGAAACAAAGAGAATTCAGAAGTGGATTTTGTGAAGCCAAAGCCGGATAAAGTCCAAGAAATGCCACAGGAGGAGACTGAACAAACTGGCGAGAAAGAAGAAGCGATCGGAGAAAAGGATTACCAACCAACTTGGGATAAACAAGAGGCAAATGATTCTTTAGAAAAAATCAAACAAACTCAAGCAGTCACAAAACCTACTTCAATAGAGGCTACGACTATCAGTGATGCTGAAGTTGATCAACTATTGGAGGAGATTTTTGCAACGTTAGATCCCGCTAAAGAGGATTCGTACCCACCAAAAAAAGACGAATAGAAAAACAGAAGAATCTAGGGATTGATTTATATACAGGTATTGCTTACTATTATACGTTTAGTAGCCATACAGTTCTTATTGTTGCATTACTTATTGAATGTTTGTATTTTCTGGTTAAACCAATATGGCGATTGAAACCAGATTTTTACATAAGACAATTTTGTTTTAATTATATCAATGATCCTCTTAATCAATTATAATACCTAAAACTCTTTATTTTATTAGTGTTTCAACGATTCCGTCTTTATTTTCAGTGTTAGCTAAGTGTAAAATACCACATCTGGTTTTGTTTCTATCTAATGTCAAACTTTAATAATAAGATATTCAATTTATGGCCTAATGACAAATGGCAATTAAATTCAGAATCGGTATTGGTTTAATCGAAGTGACCTTTTATATTTGCCATTCGCCAATTAACTCCCTAATTTTTAGTTACTTCGTTGCTGTTACTTGTTCCGCCGAATCCGATTGACTAAACTGTATTGCCATATTAATATTGGAATGTTTAAAACTAGATAAAATGTTTATCTTTCCCCTTTTCTTTTTTATGTGGGGACAGCCCTTAAAACAAAAATACATTTTGAGTGATTGCATGCAGTTTTTCAGTTAGATAGATAGAGTTAAGTAACATAAGAGATTAATACATGGATAAACAGATGCAGTGTATAGGACAATTACTTACTGAGTTCAGCAAACTCTTAAACAAAGACCTTCAATTCTACGTTTCAGTCCAGTGATGCTTGAACATATTTATAACATACATGCTAATCAATTAACCAATCTAGGAGAATAATGAATATCTCATTCTCGTAAAACAAATGTAATTTACCTACGCAAGGTCAAGTACAGTGGGGGGAGGAACGTCGAGGAACTGGTTTTTGATGAAGGCAGGGTAAAATGACGGCTTTGGTGTTGAAAGTGGTGTCTGTTCATTGGACAAGCGACAAACATAACAAAAAAGGAACCAACTTCAACTGATGCACCTACATTTGTTGAATCTGGACTCGATGAAGTAATCTCCGATATCTTACGGCTTAGCTCATGTCTTGTCCTGGACTGTCCGAAAGGGCAAATTAGCAACAATGGAGTATGCAAGGGTACCCTAGTTCCTACTTCAACATATCAATACGTGTGGTCTTGCTTGTTTAATGGTAAGCGCCTCTAACTTTATTTGCGAGAGGTAACGGGTCCAACCCCTAACATATTCACTGAAATTGAAGAGTTTGGTTCGTCTTTCTTAGGTAATGTTTTTTTCAGCGCCTTTTAATGTGAAATAAGTTTGGGAGTAAAATAGATTGTGATCCCTTGAATAGTAGTGCAACTCACTAAGACCAGTTGAATGTTCCTTTAGTAAAAGAGTTGTATGCGAAACTATAAAAGCAGCGAATGAATAATGAAATAGCATTTTTATATGGAAATAATGGGAGTCCTCACATGAATCCAAAATGCATGTTATAATGGTGTACCTACGTAAATTGTAATTTTATTTAAGTTTTTAAAGTACAATAGACTTCATCTATGACAATAGTGAGTAATTGAAACAAACTAATTATTATATAGCTTGTTAGGGTCACATTTATGCAACATATCTATTTTATCTTTTCAGTATATTCGTAAGAGTATTATATTCTGTAACACCATTTATTGCAAATTTTTTTAAGAGGTTGGCGGCCTCTTTTAACCTTGCATTTGCCCGTCCACATAGACTAGCGCCCGTGGGTGGATCGTTTACAGCAAAGCAAGGAGTGAGCCGGTGCAGTACAAAGGTAAACTGTACTGATAAATTTTAGTGGCAGTGACCAGGATCCGAACCCACGACATCGCTGCCTTGGGCCCGAAATCCGCTACGCTACCGACTGAGCCACCGACTCACTAAACAACAAACAACCTACAAAGGTTTTAGGGCCTTCAAGTTATGTTTTATTACATATAAGACTGATTAACGTACATCTGTGTTTAATGTCCGCACTTATGTTCTCCCACTTCTGGTCTACTAATTCCCTTTTACCGTATTCTGTGACAGGTCGACCTCGTCAGAAAGTTGACCAAGGCTTGTCCGTTCTAATTATTGATTATCAAACTCTACTTTCGTCGCCAATCGGCAAGTAACATTCTCGCGGTTGCCATGAAGTATAAAGTTCTACTGTTAGTGCTCCTTTTACAAGTTTACGACACAGTGTCGCAATACTTTTACCCCGGTTACGGTTACCATTCAGGACATTTCGGTTACCACTCGGGTAGTTTCGGCCACGGCCACTTCCAGAGTCCGAAGGCATACCCTCCACTACCGAGGAAGTTCACGATCGCCGATGAATTGAAGTATGGCCCGAAATTCAATCAGAGGTTCTTAAATCAATTCAGGTTTCCCGGATATCCGGAATACTCCGAGTTTTTCCGTGACGAAAGTGTTTTGACCGAAAGTACTCAGAGACCACAGACTAGCACCGGAATTATTTCTGATAGTCAAGTGATGACGCAACTCTCGACTGGTGACGTCACAACTACGACCACGACACCCGCGTCTTCAGAGGCAACTACGGAGGACGAAGACAAGGTTGTGGCGGACGCCCCAGACCGGGACTGTCCTAGTGGTCAGATGAGAAGTGACGGAGAATGCAGAGACATTGCTTGACAGGTATCTTAGTCTTCATCTCATAGAACAGCAGAGTAGCTGTTTCTATGCATTGTTTCATTCTTCATTGTTTACTTTCTTTACATTTCTTCACATTTGAAGATTATTGCTGTGTTGTTGGAATGTTTTAAATAAAATAACGATATCGACTTAATTCCAAACGCGTTTAGTGAAACATACTTCTAGTACCACCGACTCCCAGAGATTTTGATGCTATCGGAATTGCTAAGCTTTCTTAATATGAAACCTGTTATAGCAAGAATTTGGTGGTAAGAGATTTGACTAATGTAAAAATTGATTCCACCAAGCAATCTTCAACGTAGTTTGTGGTTAACTTTAAGCCCGAATTTTGCTTGAACGTTGCTTTTAAAACATGGCCACTGGCATAACTTTACAAAAATGATTCTAATGCTAATGCCAAACTGATGCATAATGTTAAGTTTAAATAAATACAACTTCAAAACTTATTAGAGTAATTGAATCATAAAAATATTTCTAAGTATACAGGGTGACAAAAAAGTCTGGAAACGGCTTAATATCTTTTTAACTAAATCCGTTAGAAAATTCAAATCCTTCACATCAAATTATATGTATGAAAACTACTTTTTGCAAGCATTGCCATTTTTTGACCTCCACCAGGTGGGGACGACCCATGAGGAGTAGGTACTTATTCTGTAATGTAAGCATAGGTTGGTATCCACATCATTTTAAAGGGCTGGTCAAGTGGAGTTCATTACCTGAATCCGCGTCTCAAAAGGTTCATCCGTTACAAAATGGCAGCTGTCCAAAGTTCTAGTGGAATATACCTGCACAGGCCTTAGTACAGTATTGGTCGAAACTCGTAGTAACATAAGCCGGAAAAGCTGAAACCCGGTTAAATTTGTTTTAAATATTGAATAGTATTAGTCAATGAGCAAGTTGAGTTTAAATTACAATTTCAGCTTTCAAGCTAATGTTGAATACTAGTATTTACCAATACTAAGGCCTGTTCAGGTATATTCCACAGGAACTTTGGACAGCTGCCATATTGTAACGGATGAACCTTTTGAGACCTAGTTTTCGGTAATGAACTCCACTTGACCAGACCTTTAAAATGATGTGCATACTAACCTATGCTTGCATTTGAGATTAAGTACCTACTCCTCATGGGTCGTCCCCTGGTAGAGGACAAAAAATTGTAATGCTTGCAAAAAGTAGTTTTCATACATGTAAGTTAATGTGAAAGGTTTGAATTTTTAACGAATTTAGATAAAAAGATATTAAGCCGTTTCCAGACTTTTTCTTGTCACTTTGTACACGGGGAAATTGAACATGGCTTCACATGTTACATCGCACGTTATACAAATCTAAAATTCAAATTTCGACATCATGACGTTTTTACATGGTGAATAAAGCAATGGTTCTGGTTGTGTGTTGGTGGTTGTGGGACACCTCCATAGAAATAATCCTTAACATTTTGATATTCAAATCGTGATACAAATAAATATATTACAAATTGAAAACTGTATCAGCACACTATTGCTAACATGACATGGTGGAGATGTACTAAAAATATATTAACTACCGTGATTACTTAATATTGAGATTTAACCGAATTTTCTTATCGATAATTACAGTTATTACAGATTCTTGAGAGTAAGGGCCGCTTGCAGTGGTATTTGCAGTTAAAAGTCGAAAAGCCTCTAACAGAATAATCGCCCTGTATATTCTACCAAACGGATCTATATGGCGCTACAATCCTTTAGACATTTCACAACAACGCCGTGTGCAAATAAGTTTCATCTAAAGCTTAAAAAAGACTTATCAGTCGCCCTACTTTACATCTGAAAACAAAAGTGACCTCGGTCCAAGTAGGCCAGATTGCGAGACCCCAACTATCAGAGTGGTGTTAACTATTACAACAGAGAAATGCACGTTCGTCTCCAGTTGGTTTTGGTGGTGTCCCTCTTGTGTGGAAGTGACGGGCTCAAGCTTCTGCAGCGAGTTAAGGACATAATCCTGGGAACAACCACTACAACCACAACCGAGCTACCGGTCTACGACGAGGTGATCGAAGATGTCCTCAAATCGTCTCGAACTTCAACTTCGACGGTCAAGTTCGAGGAGTTTGATGGTGAAAGTGACGTTAGAGAGTGGATGAGAATGGATAACTCAGCAACGTCTTCGACGGCGTCTCCTGTAGAATCAGTGCCAGAGGACGGAGGGAGAGCGTTCATATCAGCACCGACCAAGGGGTGTGGTGCGGGCAGTGGAAAGGACAGAAGTGGGAAGTGCAGGAAGAAGTTCCGGTGACTTGCGAGACAAAACTTTTAAAAAAAGGGTGAGAATTTTTACTTGATTTTTTATATTGGACATAATATGCGTATTGATACCACAATAATATACCTGAACATTGAAATCGAGA